AAAGTTCAATATATTTGTTCAGAGACGATTGCTGTGTGGAAGTTGTCTGTGCGGCTCGGCCTGGAAAACTGTCATAAAGTTTCACTTTAAAAACTAAATTCTGCCAACATGGAACCAGTCACCCGGCTGACTTCAAAGCTTCGGCATGTTCATGGCTCCCGGTGAAGATGTTTACGGTGACACTTAGGTGCAGATTCACTTATATCAGCACCGCAATACCCAACTCTGCAGATATTCACCGGCACGCTCTGTTCTATAAATAGTACACCACAACAGGAGGAATGACAATGACGGTGTATATACCATCATCTTAGGCCCTGCAACCTATAGGCTACATATGGAGGAGGTGACATTGTGTGACAGGGATCACATATTATCAAAGTGATACATAATATAATAATATCAAGTAATAAGATATATTCCTTGGGGTCGAGACAACCGAATATTAGGGGCCTTTTACACCATAACGTTGCACTTTAGGCACGGTGCCCATGCATTTAGCACAAGCCATCACACAGCGCAATGCACCGTGCGATAGGTGTAATGCTGCGTTGTATTATCATTCATTTAAATGGCACCCCAAGGCACCTCCCAGCAGGCAAGTGTGTATATGGCACAGCGCAACACGTGGTACTGCAATTAACACAAGCGCAGCCATCTTCCCCGCTCTGACACATGGTCGTGGCTTCCTGTAGTCGAGATCGCGGTCTGATCAGAGTTTGACGACCAATTTCGCGACCAATTGGGTTCACGATCAGAATCGTGGAACGAATTAAGTTTGTTTCCCGAGGTACAACTGTAGCAGGTTATATCTCTTGGAGCCCAGACACCCCAATATTAGTGGCATTACACACCATAGCTTTGCACTAAAGGCAGAGTAAATGTGCGTCTAGCACACGCTATTGCACAGCACAATGTAGCGCATGCTAGGGGCACTGGTGCGTTGTACTGCCATGAATTGCACCCCCAGCGGACAGGCATGCATTACAGCAGGGCCATCCCTATAATAAAGCAGCTTGAGGCCGTTGCCTCAGACAGCATCTCAGTGGGGGGCAGTGCGGGGGGTGGCCACAGCGTTCCAACCTATGACCCTCTTACTGGCGTCCCGTACAGCTCACTGACGTCACCGGTTGCCTAGGGCTTGGTGGGATGCACCAAGATCCTGGTAAGCAGTGACGTCGGTGAGCTGGGCAAGGAGCAAGGACAGAACCGCTGGCAGCACGGTCCAGCATCCGCCGCCACCTTGGATCAGCACAGTGTATAAAAGGCACTTAAAAGTTTATGTCAAGCTGATAATGTTTTAAAAAAACATTTTGGATAAATCTGAAAAGAATTAGAATGCCAGTTGGATTTTTCTGCTAACAAGGGCTCCGTCACAGGCTTATCCTCACTTCCTGTTCTGCTGACAACGGTTCCATCAGACAGGAAGGACGGACCGGCACTCTGATTACAAGTGTTCTCGGCGACATCACCGAGAACACTTGTAAAGAAACAAGTCATTTCTCCTATTCTACGTTTAGCTCTGCTTGTGCAAAGCAGGGCTAAATGTAGAAAGTAAATTACCGCCCGGCGCCCGTAATTCTATGTTCCGGGTGTTTCAAACCTGTACCGCCCCTCTGCTCAGTGCCGCCCCGAGGCCGGGCCTCGGTGGCCTTGCCGGGATTCCTGCCCTGAATGGAGGGTCATATTTAAAGGAGAACTAACTACAGCTCTCGGTATACTGAGACGCCGCAGCTGAAACGGATCCGCCCAGCTGCTTGAGTGACAGCTGGCTCCGATCCGCCAGTCAGCGCTGGAGGATCGGAGCGAGAGGGAGGAATCCAGCCCCTCCCCTGTCACGGCAGAGAGCTGTGACAGGATCGATAGGTGAGCGAACGCCGGTATGTGTTCGCTCACCTGCCAATCTACTGAGCCGACCTGTGACAGTCTCATTGTCACAGGTCGGCTAGAACTATGAGGTGAGTGAAAAGCACTCACCTCATAGTTCTCCTTTAAGAGCTAATACCTTGTAAATGTCATCACAAATCGCTCTCCATGGTGCTGACTCCATTGTTATCACACTCATATACAATTCTACAATGCTAATCTGTCCAGGCACAATACAAACTTTCAATAGTTTCATTGTTCAGAAAAGATTCACCGGGGGTGAAGGAGTGGTGGCTATTTACTTTGAAAAGTAAGTTATAATAAATAAGGTGAAACTGTGTTTACTTTGAATACCCAATCATGTGTGAGTGTGAATGTAAGAAAAAAATGCTAGCCTGGGATTGGTTAACTGAAGCAGCTTCATTATCATTTGCGAAGCTCAGTGGACATTCACTTCACTTCACTGACCTGTAGATGGCGCTGATGAGCATAGGATTTTTCTATACTCCTCGGCGCCCCCTAGGGGCCATGCATAAAACCATAAGTGAGCAGTCTCTATTCCTTTAATAAATCCAAATGCTTGTAACTGAGCAAACCATTTGAACAAATCTTGCCGACTTTTTGGGCAACTTTTTAATTCATCAGATTGCTGCGCTTGGAACGGTACAAATGTTTTTTAGTCTAGAAATCTATTAAAAATTCTAACATTTGTTAAAGATAGCCCCCATATGGTGGCTAATTCTGACAGATTATGGTTGATCTAGGCAGATGCCAGTACTGTGCAGGGGCCAATATTGTAATAGACATTTAGGAACCCCATGGGGGGAATTTATCAAAACTGGAGCAGAGAAAATCTGGAGCAGCTGTGCATTGCAACCAGTCAACTTCTCTCTTCAGTTTGTTCAGCTAAGATTTGGAAATGAGAGAGAGGTGCTGATTGGTTGCCATGCACGGCTGCTCTAGATTTTGTCTGCTCCAGTTATGATAAATTCCCTATATGCACCGATGTGTCCTTTAAATAACTGTATATTCCATGCCAACTGTTCAATATAACAGCAGATCATTATCTGGTGGAAATGTCATTGATATGTCACTACACACTGTCAGGCTGTCAGGAAAGGTCTCAAAAATCCCATCCAAGAGCTTCCCCAACACTCAGGATAAACAGATATAAGACAGTCACCAGATATGAGGCTAATCTCTGGATTGTACACAGATTTTCACAATTGAACATTACCCAACTATATGAATAGCATTCCCTACTGAGAAGATCATCACCCCCCCCCCCC